CTAAAGCCCAAACTTTTTCTTCAGTTTTGGATAAAGGGGAATATATAACCCTGATGTAGGTTTTTACCTTCTAGCGCACGTGTGAAACACAAGGTCTGTGGGCTAAATCTGGCCCCCAGGCCATTTCATGTGGCCCTCGCACTTCTCCTGCAGCTATGGCTTAAAACTCCTTCACCAGCTCCTGCGCTTTTCCATGCAGCCGCAGAGAGGCTTGTCTCTGACTGTCTGTCCCCCCCATCTCACCAGTTGGCAGAGAGGAGGAGAAGGACAGAACTCCCCCTACAGATCCTGTGCCTCTCTGTGCAGTTGCAGTACACCCTCACCTCTGCCTCCCCTGGTCCCAGCATTCAGCAGACTCCAACAGCTGACTCCAGCCCTCCTCTGGTTTTCCTCCAGACCCTGCACTTTATGCTTTCCCATCTCCACCGCCAGCTTCTTCCTGGCAGCAGCACTCAAATTAAGTGGGGTGCACTGTGATGTAAAGGAGGGCGGGGGACTCTTGACGTCTGATGTGGGGGGGTTGTCTAGACATCTGCTTATAATTATTATGAGAATATTGCAATTGTATGCCAGTTAAAAAGGAGGGTCGCAGACTTTAACCATTTGGCAACCGCGCTATAGCTGAATGAAGGCTACAGCGCAGTTGTCCAGTTCTGGGAGGGTGTTATATGATGTCCGCCCAGAACACACCCATCCCGCGCTGCCCAAGTGGCGTACACCCAGCGATCTCTGTGATTGCTGTGTCCATAGGATCATAACAGCCTTTTACCACATGATCAGCTGTGTCCAATGACACAGCAGATCACCGGGTAAATGCAGTTGCTGGTTATCAGCTGCACTTTCCTCAAGCTGTCACAACATGAGGAAAGTACTGCCGATTACTGGCAATTGTCAGAAAAACAGATCGGCACTGATCATCATGGCACTGATGATCAGTGCCCAGCAGTGCCACCCACCTGTGCCCAGCAGCACCACCCACAAGTGCCAAGCAGTGCCACCCACCTGTGCCCAGCAGTGCCACCTACCTGTGCCCATCAGTGCCTAGCAGTGCCAACCACCAGTGCACAGCAGCGCCCCCCATCAGTTCTGCCCAGCAGTGCCAGCCAGCAGTGCCCAGCAGTGCAGCCAGTCAGTGCCCAGCAGTTCCATCAGTCAGTGCCACTCATCAGTGCCCATCAGTGCCGCCTATCAGTGCCCATCATTGCTGCATATCAGTGCCAGTCCATTGGGACCGCCTATCAGTGCTGCCTATCAGTGCCCATCAGTGCTGCCTATCCGTGCCACCACATCAGTGCCACCTATTAGTGTCCATCAGTGCTGCCTATCAGTGCCCATCAGTGCTACCTATCAGTGTAGCTTCATCAATGTACATCAGTGAAGGAGAAAAATTACCTGTTTGCAAAATATTATAATAGAAACAAAGACAATTATTTTTTTCACATTTTTTGCTATTTTTGTTTATAGCACAAAAAATAGAAACACCCAGTGGCGATTAAATACCACCAAAAGAAAACTCTATATGTGTGAAAAAAATAACAAAAATTTCATATGGGTACAGTGTTGCATGACCTCGCAATTGTCATTCAAAGTGCGACAGCGCTGAAAGCTGAAAATTGGCCTGGGCACGAAGGGGGTATAAGTGCCCGGTAGGCAAGTGGTTAATGGAGAACACCAGGGCAGAATCATGTTCTGTCTGAGCAGTCTCCAGTAAAGTTTCTTGTGGATGATACCAGTGGTGTGCAACCCTCCATTTCAGACTTTTATTGTCTGCTACAGGATTGTGAGTAGGCTCTGGGTCGGTCTTCACCTGCCCTTCATAGCTTAAGGTGTCCATTTATGAACCAGCGGTAATAGATCGCTGCTCAGTTCTCTGGCATTCTCGGAGAACACAGTTCTCCTGTGAATGCAGTTTATGAAGCAGTTCTCCAAACGAAGGGAGAACGATCTCCAAACGCTGGAGAACGGTCTACAAACTCTGGAAAACGGCTGATTTTACTATAATCTCGCGAGATTATAGTAACAGATCAGTTTACTAAGCAGAGGTAAATTATCTCTGCTTAGTTTGCGGTCCCTCTGATTCTCCAGCTCTAGGCTGGAGAATCTGGAGGGAGAACACAGATCTCCAGCGAAGGGCTGACATGATCTCCTGAGTGTCATAAACTGTGAATGACCAGAGAATAGCTGAGATCCGTTGAATCGCAGCTATTCTCTGTGTCATAAAAGGACACCTAAGTCTTAAAGAGGAACTCCAGTCTCCTGTGTAAAAATGTAAAGTCAGCAGCTACAAAAAGTGTAGCTGCTGACTTTTAATAAACAACCACTCACCTGCCCTACGATCCAATGATGTGTTCACACCAGCTGTTGTCACTTCTCATCTTCTGTCTGTAGCATGGCATCTTAACTGTGGGCAATCGGCTGTGACAGCTTGAGGCTTCACAGCTGGGTGTCCACTGCACGAGCGCACTGCACATTGTGAATGGTCCTGCAGGTGTCAAGGACCTGTGTCCCAGAAGACTGCGGGGAGAGGGGAGGAGAATTTCCACTTCTGATCACCTTGGATTCTGTGTATTATATAAATAATATGCAAAGGATGACTGCAAAATATAGGAATCTATTTATCAATGTTTTCATCCAAGATTTACACAACTTTCAACCATGTATCACCCATTTTTACATTAGCTTCAATTAGAAAAATGTGTTCATCTTGGGTGAAAGTAGTGTGGATTTTAAGTGGAAACAATACACAGATATAATCTCAGAACTGGAAATTTTTACTAAATTTTGATTGTGAGAGTTGGAAACGTTCAGCACATTGGAATGCCCTCTAGTTTAATAGACTTACTGCCATGGTGCTCAGCTTATGGGATGCAGTATATATGCAGGCTGTTCTTAAGATAAATCTTTTATTTTTAATTCTCTAATCAATATTATTATTTATTATTATTATAAATACTGTATAATAATAATAATAATAATAATAATAAATAATAATATTGATTAGAGAATTTTAAAAAAATTAACCAAAAAGCACTGCTCAAATATCCTTTGCACAAATACATTGAGAAAAAACAGTGTCCAGGCCCTGTTTGCATCTGGCTGTGTTCGCTACAGTACAGGGCAATGGAGCTGAACTGACATTGCTAGGAAGATTCAATGAACCCTAAGAACAGCTTGGCTGCTGTGTACTCAGGTGTTGTGCACCACAGATGAAGCCAACAAGACATACTCTATAAATATAAGTTCTAATGTAGCTTGTACACAGGATTCTTCACACTGTAAGGAATGTCCAAGTATCTCCTTTTGCCATGCATCAAATTGGTTTTGAAGAAGCTTTGGTGTTCCATTAATGTGTATGTATACATAAGTCATGGCAATGCCACTACATAACAAAGATAAGTGCTCAAAGACAGTTATGTATTTCCAAAAACACCTGCAATTGTTATTATTGTTCTGATACTATTATGACATAATGCACCATGCAGTATTATGAGGACTAATAATTTACATCACTATTTGCCCCAGTGGAAGTTAAATGAATACTAATGAACAAGCAGTCAGTAGAAACCTCACTGGTAAGTTTTGAACATAAAAATGTGTGGTAGGGTGGCTCCAAAATTGCATAGTTACGCTAAGGGTTTCAGATTTGTTCAACTGACCTTGAAAAGACTGAACATGTGTGTAAGAGGAGCTCTGTACACATTGGAAACAGAAGGCTATTACATGCACATGCTCATAATTCTGAGCAAAGGCTTACTGCAAGACGGGTACTGGCATGCACGCGCAAACAAATTAGCATGCGAGCAAAAAAAAGTAATTGGCATATGTGTACACCCACATCAGGTATTGGCACTGACGCCAAATGGCCTAATCAAGCTGGACTATGACATGAACAGATTACTGAGTGGTCTACAGCTGCTTCCTGCTTACCTGAGCCTTGACTTGCTATACCTGGATACCTGTGTTTGACCCTGCTTGCCCCTGACCTCTGTTCCTGTCTAGCGCTCCTTTACCTAGCTGCCTGGCTGTGTACCAATCACAGCTTGTATCTTGACTCTGCCTCTGCCGGATGTTCCTGTACCTTGCTGCTCAGCTGGTGATGACCTTCTGGCATCCGTACTGGCTACGTCATCACTATTAGGGGTGTTGGATAAGAGATGAAGGAGAAGCCCCCTCTCCCACTAGATATCCACCAGGTATGTGACAATATACAATATGTGGTGACCCAATGGCTCAGAGCAGGGATGAAGGAGCTACATGAGCCAGCGCCATGGTCCATACAGGAGGTAGCCTGTTGATCTTGGGTCTGTAGTGACGCCCTGAGCAATATATATACAGTATCTCATGGAAGTGAGTACACCCCTGACATTTTTGTAAATATTTTATTATATCTTTTCATGTGACAACACTGAAGAAATGACACTTTGCTACAATCTAAAGTAGTGAGTGTACAGCTTGTATAACAGTGTAAAGTTGCTGTCTCCTCAAGATAACTCAACACACAGCCATTAATGTCTAAACCGCTGGCAACAAAAATGAGTACACCCCTAAGTGAAAATGTCCAAATTGGGCCCAAAGTGTCAATATTTTGTGTGGCCACCATTATTTTCCAGCACTGCCTTAACCCTCTTGGGCATGGAGTTCACCAGAGCTTCACAGGTTGCCACTGGAGTTCTCTTTCACTCCTCCATGATGACATCATGGAGCTGGTGGATGTCAGAGATCTTGCGCTCCTCCACCTTCCATTTTGAGGATGCCCCACAGATGCTCAATAGGGTTTAGGTCTGGAGACATGTTTGGCCAGTCCATCACCTTTACCATCAGCTTCTTTAGCAAGGCTGTGGTCGTCTTGGAGGTGTGTTTGGTGTCGTTATCATGTTGCAATACTGCCCTGCTGCCTAGTCTCCGAAGGGAGGGGATTATGCTCTGCTTCAGTATGTCACAGTACATGTTGGCATTCATGATTCCCTCAATGAACTGTAGCTCCCCAGTGCCGGCAGCACTCATGCAGCCCCAGACCATGACACTCTCACCACCACTATAGGCAAGACACACTTGTCTTTGTGCTCCTCACCTGGTTGCCACAACACACGCTTGACACCATCTGAACCAAATATAGTAATACCTCGGTTTAAGAACACCTCGGTTAAAGTAATTTTCGGTTTACAAGTTCAGTAAATCCACTGAAAATAATGCCTCGGTTTACAAGTTTTGTATGAATTTTTTTCGCAATACGAAGTGTATGTCAGTGCTAATTTTTAAATGCAATTGCTGGCTTTTTTTTTTTCTTCACTATAGCTCACAGAATTAGCTGTCATTGAAACTAAAAAGAAACATTGTTTGCCCCCCCCCTTTCCTGACCTGCCAGGCTGCATGCTCTGAAAATGTCTGGTATGGATTTTGGGGAGGACCCCCACGCCATTTTGTTTTAAATTTTGGCGTGGGAGTTCCCCTCAAAATCCATACCAGACACGAAGGGCTTGGTATGGGTGGGAAGGGGGACCCCACGCAGTTTTTTTAATAATTTTTTTAATTGCCGGCAATTCTTCTACATTCAGCTGTCAGTGGGGAACCCCGCAGACAGCTGAAATATTAACACATGGTTGTCACTACTAAAATGCCGTATGACTTGATAAAATAACTCATGCAGTATTTATTAGTGTTTACTTTTTTCTGATCTCCGGAACAGATTAATTGGTTTTCAATGCATTCCTATTGGAAACAGCGTTTCGGTTTAAGAATTTTTCGCTATAAGAAAAGTCCTGCAGAACGAATTAAATTCTTAAACCGAAGTAATACTGTAAGTTTATCTTGGTCTCATCAGACCACAAGACATGGTTCCAGTAATCCATGTCCTTAGTCTGCTTGTCTTCAGCAAACTGCGGGCTTTCTTGTGCATCATCTTTAGAAGAGGCTTTTTTCTGGGATGACAGCCATGCAGACCAATTTGATGCAGTGTGCGGTGTATGGTCTGAGCACTGACAGGCTTACCCCCATCCCTTCAACCTCTGCAGCAATGCTGCCAGCACTCATACCTCTATTTCCCAAAGACAACCTGTGGATATGACGTTGAGCATGTGCACTCAACTTCTTTGGTCAACCATGGCGAGGCCTGTTCTGAGTGGAACCTGTCCTGTTGAACCGCTGTATGGTCTTGGCCACCGTGCTGCAGCTCAGTTTCAGGGTCTTGGCAATTATAGTCTAGGCCATTTTTATGTAGCGCAACAATTCTTTTTTTTCGGATCCTCAGAGAGTTCTTTGCCATGAGGTTCCATGTTGAACTTCCAGTGACCAGTATGAGAGAGTGAGAGCAATAACACCAAATTCAACACACCTGCTCCCCATTTACACCTGAGACCTTGTAACACTAACGAGTCACATGACACCGGGGAGGGAAAATGGCTAATTGGGCCCAATTTGGACATTTTCACTTAGGGGTGTACTCACTTTTGTTGCCAGTGGTTTAGACATTAATGGCCGTGTGTTGAGTTATTTTGAAGGAACAGCAAATTTACACTGTTATACAAGCTGTACACTCACTACTTTACATTGTAGCAAAGTGTCATTTATTCAGTGTTGTCACATGAAAAGATATAATAAAATATTTACAAAATGTGAGGGGTGTACTCACTTCTGTGAGATACTGTATATATATATATATATATATATATATATATATATATATATACACATACGGGAAGTTAGTCCCAACATAATTTATAGCATTGCCATCTTCTAATGTTGAGAAACACTGGTGTAATATTTCTACTACTGTCAAGGAAATGCATGCATACACTAAAGAGGGTAGGGAAATATTGCCTTATAAGACCGTCTCTTTCAGGACTTTATTTACAGGCAGTAGAGATAGCATTGAGTGTATTCTCATATTACAATTATGCATTTACACATTTAGGCCCCATGTACACGGGACATTTCTGAATGATGGAAATTGACTGCTGGAAAATGTAGGTTAAAAAAAGTCTCTTTAGCCGTGTTTGCATAATGCGTTTATACGCGTTTGCGTTTAGAAGCGTTTTTTAAAGATAAGCACAGGAGAACCTCCCAAATGCCCAGAATGCACTGAAAAGTGGTAAATTATTAACTATTTCAGACTGTTTCAGAGAAATACAGAGAGTAGAAGCAGAGACAGCAGTTTATGTTGAGATAATTAGGTGTGAGTTGCTCATTAACATTTATTTTGTTTCCAAGGATGAGAAAGGTGTCTGGTGGAGTGAGTCATTAAGGTCAACTGGCAGGAGGTCTTCATGAGGATTTTGAGGTGAAAATGGGCAATAACATATCAGAGAGGTGTGAATTGGTCATTACAATGTGAGACAAGCTTGGTAGGAACATCCTGTTAAGTGTTTTGTCCATCTGAGCACCTTGAAAACTCTTTGCATGCATTTTCATGATGAAAAAAGGCTCTGGACAGCATTGGGAACTGGAAGAGTTAAAAAAAAAATCAAACGCTTACAAATGTGATTTGCCACGTTTAGACGCATTTACAAGCATTTTGCGTTTGAAACGCTGATAAAATCGACATCTGAACGCAAGTTTGTTGCGTTCAAAAAAAACGACTGTAAACTCAACTGCCTGTAAATGACTGTAAACGATGATGTGTACATGGACACATGGGAAAACATTAGGGAGAGTTCAGGGCATGCTGAAAAAAACACTGAACAGCTCCTGAACGTGAGTTTATCAGCTGCAGTGTACATGAGCCCTTACACACATTATCTACACCCTGTTCCAAATTATTATGCAAATTCTATTTAAGTGTCACAAAGATTAAATATTTTGTTTTCCAGTTTAACTCATGGATGGCATTGTGTGTCAGGGTTCTTTTGATCACTGAAAACAATCTCGGACACCTGTGATAATTAGATTGGCCGGTGAGCCCAATTTAAGGAAAAACTACTAAAGGAGGGTTTTCCACATTATTAAGCAGAGCACCATTTTCAAGCAATATGGGGAAGAAAAAGGATCTCTCTGCTGCCGAAAAGAGTGAAATAGTTCAATGCCTTGGGCGAGGTATGAAAACTTAAGCGTGATCATCGCACTATTAAGAGATTTGTGGCTGATTCAGAGCACAGATGGGCTCGTGCAGATAAAGGCACATTGAGGAAGATTTCTGCCAGATCCATGCATCGGATCAAGAGAGCAGCTGCTAAAATACCATTACAAAGCAGCAAACAGATATTTGAAGCTGATGGTGCCTCTGGAGTCCCACGGACATCAAGGTGTAGAGTCCTCCAGAGTCTTGCAACTGTGCATAAACCTTCTATTCAGCCACCACTAACCAATGCTCACAAGCAGAAATGGCTGCATTGGGCAGAAAAATACATGAAGACTAATTTTCAAACAGTCCTGTTCACTGATGAGTGCCATGCAACCCTGGATGGTCCGGATAGATGGAGTAGTGGATGGTTGGTGGACAGCCACCCTGTTCCAAACAAGGCTGCAACGTCAGCAAGTCGGTGGTGGAGTCATGTTTTGGGCCGGAATCATGGTAACAGAGCTGCTCGGCCCCTTTAGGGTCCCCGAAGGTGTAAAGATGACCTCTGCAAAGTTTGTGGAGTTTATGACTGACCGCTTTCTTCCCTGGTACAGGAGGAAGAACTATGCTTTCCGTAATAAAATCATCTTCATGCATGACAATGCACCATCTCATGCTGCAAATAATACCTCTGCATCAATGGCTGTTATGGGGATAAAAGGAGAGAAAGCCATGGTGTGGCCTCCATCCTCCCCTGACCGCAATCCTATTGAGAAGCTTTGGAGCATCCTCAAGCAAAAGATCTATGAGGGTGGGAGGCAGTTTACATCCAAACAGCAGCTCTGGGAGGCTATTCTGACATCTTGCAAACAAATTCAAGCAGAAACTGTCCAAAAACTCAGAAGTTCAAGGGAAGCAAGACTTGTGAAGCTGCTATCAAATAACGGGTCCTATGTTACAATGTAACGTGACCTGTTAAAATGTTTAAAAAGTTAAAATGTTGTTAAAAGATTGATTGAAATAGCTTTTGATTTCAGTAAATATGCTGCAAACACAACAAATGACAATTTTCAGTTCTTTACAACCTATAAAGTGTTTTGAAACTTACTGTGCGTAATAATTTGGAACAGGGCATTGTAAGTTTTTATGTTTACAAAAATAGTTATCATTAGGAGGTTTGTTCAATAAATTTGAATTGTACTCTTAATAGTTGATAAATGAGAAACTGTTATTTACATCAATTATTTAGGTAAATGAGAAAATATCATTTGCATAATAATTTGGAACAGGGTGTACTACAGTAACCATGCTAGACATATAGCAACAGTGGGTTGGACTTCTCAGACTCAACCAGCAAACGTATTTTAAGAATTCATATCACAACGAGAAACACGAGGATGAATTACTAAAGGATTTGAGATAAATACCTGTGTAAGAATTCACTTATGCCATTGTAGCGGTAACCCTGCAGGGGCCGCTTGATGATGCTTGTCCCCAGTGGTTATATACACACACACATACACACTATATTGCCAAAAGTATTGGGACACCCCTTCAAATCATTGGATTCAGGTGTTCCAATCACCTCCATGGCCGCAGGTATATAAAATCAAGCACCTAGGCATGCAGACTGCTTCTACAAACATTTGTGAAAGAACGGGTCGCTCTCAGGAGCTCAGTGAATTCAAGCATGGTGATAGGTTGTCACCTGTGCAATAAGTCCATCGTGAAATTTCCTTGCTACTAAATATTTCATAGTCAACTGTAAGTGGCATTATAACAAAGTGGAAGCAACTTGGAACAATAGTAACTCAGCCACAAAGTGGTAAGCCACGTAAAATGACAGAGCGGGGTCAGCACATGCTCTAGAGCACAGCGAGCAGAAGTCACCAACTGTCTGCAGAGTCAATAGCTAAAGACTTCAAACTTTGTGTGGCCTTCAGATTAGCACAACAATGTGTGGAGAATGGGTTTCCATGGCTGAGCAGCTGCAAACAAGTGTTACATCACCAAGTGCAATGCAAAGTGTCAGATGCAGTGGTGTAAAGCACTCAGCCACTGGACGCTAGAGCAGTGGAGACGTGTTCTCTGGAGTGACGAATCATGCTTCTTTATATGGATGTGTCTGATTTTGGTGGTCGCCAGAAAAACAGTACTTGCCTGACTGCATTGTGTCAAGTGTAAAGTTTGGTGGAGGAGGATTACAGTGTATGGTTGGGTTGGGCTTGGCCCCCTAGTTCCAGTGAAGGGAACTCTTAAGGCGTCAGCATACCAAGACATTTTGAACAATTACATGCTCCCAACTTTTGTGGGAACAGTTTGGGGATGGCTCCTTCCTGTTGCAACATGACTGCGCACCAGTGCACACAGCAAGGTCCATAAAGACATTGATGAGTGAGTTTGGGGTGGAGGAACTTGACTGGCCTGCACAGAGTCCTGACCTCAACCCGAAAGAACACCTTTGGGATGAATTAGAGCGGAGACTGCAAGCCAGGCCTTCTCGTCCGACATCAGTGCCTGACCTCACAATGCACTTCTGGAAGAATGGTCAAACATTCCCATAGACACACTCCTAAACCTTGTGGACAGCTTTCCCAGAAGAGTTGAAGCTGTTATACCTGCAAAGGGTGGGCCAACTCAATATTGAACCCTACGGACTAAGACTGGGATGCCATTAAAGTTCATGTGTGTGTAAAGGCAGGCGTCCCAATACTTTTGGCAATATAGTGTATAAATATATATATATATATACACTCTGGTGTGAATAGGAATAGACACCCTAATTGAATAACAATGGCTTAGATGTGAAGAGGTCCCTTTAAATAGAAATAGCAATTTGAGTCCTGAGATGTTTAAAGTTCCTGATGTGATAGTAGCTGTTGTCTTCTGCTAGCAATGGTGAGACACATATACAGGAGTGAGCAATGGTAATTCAACGAAGATAACAGATAGGCTGTGGTAAATGCTCACAGCAAAGATCTCTTGGTACTGAGGTGTAAAGGTGGCTGCATGCAGTGTCTCTAGAGTGTTGTCAGAAAGAGGTTGGGCATCCACCCGCTCATCAATCCCATGGATAGCACGACCTCCTAGAACAGGGTTCTTGCAAAGGTTCTTGGCTGTTCGCAGGGAAGTGCAGAGTTACTTCCAGACAGCCTGTCAGTGTGGCAAGCAGAGATGACTTGTTGAAGACTGGATAGAGACCGTCCCGATAAAGAGAAGCTGATGCGATCCCGGTGTGGTGAACGGCATCACTGCTCTACTGAACATGCAGAGTTTTGC